AAGAGTTGGAGCATACCAAATGGTTGGGTGTGGTGGGGGTGTTTTTATGCCACAGAGCAGCTTAGGCCTTTCGATAAAAGCAGGTTTGCCCCAGCAGTGCACTGTTTAGGTTTAAATAGGCAAGCTACAGAGTTACTTTTTAAACTTTTTGAGGGAGAGCTGAGGGGGGGGGGATCATTGTCACTGGATGGCGATGCTGGGGGTCTTCCCATTGCAAGCACATGCATGGACCCCCCCCACCTTCTGCAGACACATGGAAAATGCACTGGACTGTAACATGGTTGTCAATAGCAATATTTATAGATGTTCTCTCTCTTATAGTCTCGAGTTGGAGGGAACAACATTATGATTCTCCTGTCTCCCACGCAAACGATCAACACAATCAGAATCATTTACTCAGGTCTGAGCTGTGGCAGTGACAGACAGGACTTTACACTGGTGCTTTGAACTGTTATCTGAGCTTTTTCTGACTGATATGTGATGGACATTGCGCTGAAGTACCTTTACAGCATTCATTTTCATAGAGGAGCCATGAAGAGTGAGACCTTTGGAGAACTGAGCATTGCTGAGCTGATGGAGAGAGAGAGAGAGAGATGGGGACCAGTCAAAGACTGGATGCTGCTCTCTGCCAACTCCGTCCTGCTCTCTAATAGCCTCTATCATTGAAGGATATATAATTGAATCAAATAAAATGTGTGCTTCTTAAAAAAATATAGACAAGCTGCCTGCTTGTACTTTTTATGTGGTTTGACAGAACAAGGCAACCTTCTGTCTGACCTTCAGATGGACCCAGCTTTTCCAATAACGGAAACCAAAAGCTATGACCGGACCGGCTGTCCTGGGTGCTAGTCCTACTCTTACTGTTCAGTAATACCGATTATTAATTAGTTTTCCTTTGTAACATTAATATATCATACCTGAACCTATGAATTGTCCTTGACATTTGGCTTTACATGTTTCCATCTATGGTTTTGCACCTCGTAATGAGTAAAGCAAAGTTTATGTTTTTTATTAATCAATGACCACTCCTTCATAACGGCTGAACAAAGAATTGATCAAATAGAAACCCAGTTCATCAGCACAAAAACACTGTTTTGTCGGAGCCTTCACCTGAATCCTGGAATGAGGTGATCACAGTCACTTTAAATATCCCCTATTTAAATGATTGTAGAAGAGGTATTGCTTTGCAATATTACACAGACGAACAACACTGTAATGCAAAGCTACAGAGTATCAAACATTTTTATGAATAACAAATCTCTAGTTTGGAAGAAATTATTAAAAGTGGTGGAAAAAAATGGACTTTGCATGTACCAACAACCAAACTCATGCAGTGCAGTCCAAGTATTGTATGCAGTGACACATTTTTTATTATTTTGGCTCTGTACACTTCAGAATGGGTTTGAAGTGAAACACTCAAGATCAGACTGTCAACTTTAATTTAATGCTGCACTTATGAACTGTGAAGCAATTCTAAGGCATATAATACACAGACCCCCACTTTAATGGACCAAAAGTATTTGGACCACTGTCAATCCATGCACAATTCAATTCCGGAGTTCTACATTCTAAGTGTTGCCATTTCATTTGGAATATGTTACCTCAATCAACATTGTGATCAAAGAGGTGCCAATGCCAGTAAAGCAGGCTGTCTTGAAACTGAAAACTTATTTAAAGAAAATACCATGTAATACACAGCAAAAAGATTAGGTGTGGCAAATTCAACTGTTAGGTTAAAGAGAAAGAACATAACATACCCAAACAGCCAGTAGACCCAGTAGGGCAACTGCAGTGCATGACAAAAGAATACTTTCACTGTAAAGAAAAATGCCTTCACAACTATCGACCAGATTAAATACACTTTCCAGGATGTGGGTGCAGTTGTGTTTCTAGATGACTGTAATCAGAAAATTGCACAATCCCACAAGATGCAAACCACTGGTAAGTTATAACTGAAATGCCAGTGTAACATTTGCTAAGACGTAAATTATAAAACTATTCAATTTTGGAATAATGTATTATGGACAAAGCTGTGAAACACGGAGGAGGTAGCCCAATAGTCTAGGCATTTATGACTGCCACTGAAACTGTTTCCAGTGTATTTATTGATGAGGTGACTGCTAATAAACATTAGGATGTATTCTTTGTTATAGATGGACATCTTATTTGTTCAGATTCAACAAAATATGTCAGTGGGCAGCACTTTACACTGCAGCAAGGCAATGAAATAAATCAACCAGAAAAAAATGGAATGTACGAGTCAAGCATCTGACCTAATTTTGAGTGAGCAACCATTTTCACTTGCTGAAGACAAGACTAAAGGCAGAAAGCCACCAAAACAAGCAGTATTATAAGCCTGGCAGAGCATGACCAGGGCAGAATCACAGTGGGTTCCAAACTTCACACTCTCAATGACTGCAACCAAGTATTAAATGTGACAACTTTCATTATAATAATATTAATTTACCCAAATATGTTTGGTCCTTTAAAATGGAGGAGGCTATGCATGAAAATGGTTATAATTCCTGCACAGTTTTCCCAAAATAGCTGCCTGTAGCCTTAAATTAAAGCTGCCAGTCTGCACTTTAAGAGCATATTGAGTGTTTTATTTCAAATCCATTATGATGCTGTACAGAGCCAGAATAAAAATTAGAAAAATGTGTGGACTGCACTGTACATAGTTACATTTGACTCTGAATACATTTTTTTATTTGATTTAGTATATTTGTACAACTCAAAATATATTACAAATATATATTTAGCTTATTTATAATTAAACAGTAATTTACTATTTTTAAAGTATTACTAGTGTGTTTGAGGGGCAGGTATGGGGCAATCTATTTCTTTTAACTTTCTTATCAGTAAAAAAGCATACTGTTCCTCTAAGGAGTTCTGTAATGTAGAGATACTTCAATCTGCAAAAATGCAACTGACAGCTCAAGGAAACTTATATAATTAAACATGCAACCAGGGTTGTGAACCACAAGCATTCAAAGGGTCTCAGCTGCTCTGATCTGGTTTTCAAACACTTTTGCTCGTGAGTGCTGTTAATATATATATATAAAAAACATGGTGACTAGAAGCAATTTAAAGCTGTATAATGCACCAGAAATACTCCACACTGCCCTGGAAAAAGCAGAATGATGGAAATCGGTCCGGTTCATTTCCATTTTTCAACAGCAGGTCTTCAGGACCAGGGGCAGCTGGGCTTTCACTGGTGTCTGCGATTCTCCCCACGCAGTTAAATGGCCGTCGCACTGGCACTGCGAATGACGGCTTATGGAGCAGCGCGCTGCTCACAATGGCCTCCTGTCTGGCCGGCTCTCTCCAGCTGCCCTGAAGTCCGCTGCTCGGTCCCGGGCCGGATCTGGCGGCTGGGCTCGGAGCATCGTTTTTCAGCCTTGGCTGTCTTGGCCGTCCTCCACGCGCTGCGCTTCCCTGCACTGCGGGCTTCTTCACCTCAGGTCACGCTGGAGCTGCTCGAGTCCTTTGAAGCATATGGCTGGAAGCCTGGGGAGTCCCTTCGAGAGGATGCCTCCCTTTCATGGAAAAAAATGATTCTTTTCTTCCCTTCTGCTCTTTTCAGTACTCCATCCATCCATTAATCTCATAACTAAACAAGGCAATATTACTCCTGTGCAGTCACACTTGCACAATACATTACAGTGGCGATTGCCACGCCCTTAATTTATCCTCTAACTTCTCTGGTGGAGTTTTGGGCAGAAACTGCTACTGTTTATCAGATTATTGCTGTGCCTGGTTAAAACTAATTCAGCTTAATTGAAGCAAACCGACAAGTGTTTTATCCAATGAGGTTTTTCTGGCTTGTAAATGGTCAACAATTATTTTTAAAAAGCCACAAACACACTCCCTTCCCAAGGAAGTGCTCACAAAGTGATCCCAAGTGAGCTAAAAATTAATTGTAATTAATACACACGCTGACAGCATCATACTGTACCGGCAGTACCTGTGAGGGTTAATTAGCATTTTTGTTGCATGTACTGAATAGTAATCAGCTGTGGGCTCAACCTTACAGCTGGGTTCTTGGAGGTACACGTCGCCACACATAAGCACCATGTGATAAACACATTTTATTGGCATTCATTGGACTGGCTTCAATCCACATTTTGAGAAGGGGGTCAAAGTGTATTTAGCAAAGACCTTTGAGGTATTCTGGCAAAGATAAGCACAAAGCAGGTAAAGCTGTTTTATTGACATATTAACAGGGATCTCTGCTGTAGTATTTAAAGCAAGAGTTTTACACATAAACTACCGAGTGGTTTCTCGTTTCCAAATAAGCCACAGTTAAGATGGTTTTATTCGATTTAAATCCTTCCCAGCCATGTAATAACCTTTCCTGCTTTTCGGCGTGTACACTCACATTACAGGGCAAATGATGCATTCATCCCCTAACCTGAGCACATACCCACCCCAGACTCGTATTTATAGTTAGTATTTTGCATTTTAACATAATACTATTCTAAAAATATCAGACTGTCCTCTAAAAAAATGGATCCATCTAACATCAATTTTATTTCCCATGCAAAGATCTAAAGATCAGCCAGAATTATTGTCTAAGGAAATATTGTATAAATGCTATATAGTTTTTCTATATAATGATGCAGGGCAGTCTTTCACGTATCTTTGGAATTAACGTGTGTGTGTGTGTGTGCGTGTGTGCGTGCTTGTGTGCGTGGATTAGGTTTATATTTCATATACCAAATATCACCATCACCAAAGACCAAATATCCCCCACAATGGGGACCATTTTTCAGGTCCCCACAAAGATCTGTGAATGCAATCAAAAACTAAAAATGCCAAAAGTCTTGTCTTTTGTTTGGTTACTTATGGTTAAGGTTAGGGCAGGGTAGGGGTTACGG